CATTACTGTTAACCTTCACTTGTTAGCATCACCGTTTAGCATTACTGTTAACCTTCACTTGTTAGCATCACCGTTTAGCATTACTGTTAACCTTCACTTGTTAGCATCACTGTTTAGCATTACTGTCAACCTTCACTTGTTAGCATCACTGTTTAGCATTACTGTTAACCTTCACTTGTTAGCATCACTGTTTAGCATTACTGTCAACCTTCACTTGTTAGCGTCACCGTTTAGCCTAATTTTTTTGCATCGTTTAGCCTCATTTTGTAGCATCAATGTTTAGCATCACTGTTTTTAGCACCACTACAGTCCTGTTTTGTTTCTTCTGCTTTTAATGAAAACAAATTTCTGATTAATTAGGACAGAGTAGATCCGATAAGTAAAACTAGGCCGATATTAACAACCAAAGGTTTTATTCCATCTAGTTTCTGTGGGAAATCATCTTCAGCCAAAACCCTCCAGTCCTAAAATAATTAATAATTATTTTTTTTAACATATAGGACCAAACTTTAAACACATTTAGAAAGCATCTGATCCAGGCTCTTACATCAGTAAACTCCTTAATGCTAATACTGTTAGCCTGCTTTGCCACTTTCCTCTTCACTTCCTCCAGGGCGGCCATGTTGGCCTGGACGGGCTTGTTACTGACAGAGGGCACCGGCAGCAGCGAGGACAGAGTTCCAATGTTGGACAGCGCCGCCGTCACAGAAGCTGCAGAGACGGAGACGGAGGCTCAGACAGCAGCGGATAAAACGTAGCAGAGACTCGTTAAATCAGCCATCATCCGTACCGGCGGTCATGCTGGCCATGGCAGCGTTCATGGCTACGCCGGGCAGCGCCAGAGGCAGCATGGCCGACCTGAGGCTGGCGGGGACGGGCATGCCGGCCTTCACACACATGGCGGCGGCGTTGGCCTTGGCTATTTCCAGGAGCTGCTCCTTATCTGAGGAAACAAACAAAGAGAGACGTTGAGCCGCGGCGGTGTTGGCCCAGCGCCGAGACAGACGGCAGGGATGCGGAACATCTCACCCAGTTCACTGATGCGCTTGGGGCTGGCGCTGCGCTCCTTCCTCGGAGGCGACCGCTTCTTGCGCAGGATGAGAACGGGGGAGCGGCTGGGCTCGCGTTTCCAGCGGTCCCTCTGGCTGTAGGGGGGCCTCCTGCGGCCACGCGACGCCGAGCGTGAGCGGGTTCTCCGGGAGGACCGGTGGGCTGACCTACACACCAACCGAAATAGCAACGTTAGCTCAGAGCTAAAGATGGTCGCAGAGGAAGAAGCACCACCCCTACCTTGACCTAGACTTCCTCCTCGCAGAGCGGCTCCTGGACTTGGACTTCCTCCTCGCCGAGCGGCTCCCGGACCTGGACTTCCTCCTCGCCGAGCGGCTCCCGGACCTGGACTTCCTCCTCGCAGAGCGCCTCCTGGACCT